AGGTGAGTCCTTTACCCCCAGGTAAAGGGGTAAAGGACTTTTTTGCCTTATTTCTAAAAGAAGACAAAACTGCCCAAAATGCCCCCATGCACACCGCACAGCCAACTTCAACTCCTCCCTAAATTCCTCAGTATCACTGCCCCCAGAAAAGAAGCATAACAGGCAGGAGCAACTTCCAACTACTTTAGCAAGGTAATCAACGAAAACGGGTGGTGGGTTTTTTTCCTCTTTTCCTTCTTCCTCAACTTGTAAAATGTTTATTCTTTTCCAAAACGCAGAGATGCAGGAAGAAGTGGAAGCAGAGCGAGCCGTTGCCTCCTTCGACGGGGTCCAAATTCAGTCCCTTACACGCAGTGAAGCTGCGTAGCCTCGTTGGCTGGATCCAGTGGCACTGTTCCACATGGATGTAGGACTAAGGAGAAACTTTAGTATAGGCGAAACCTTTTATTCTGGGGGGAAGTTGAAGCATTTACGCAAAACAGCTTCCACCATTGTCACCACAACTGATGGTCTTTGATTTTTTTTTCAGCAGCCAAGCGGAGGAAACCAGCCCGGTGACCATCGCTGCCACAGCGTCCTGTGAAACGCAGATGCTTTGCCTGGTGCAGCCCCCCGATGGCCTTTGCTACCAGCATCCCATTGCGGTGGCCATTGTGCCGCTGCTGAAAGGAAATTTTTCCTTATGTAGCAGGCAGATTAAAGCGGTTCTGCTCAGTGATGGATTTATTCTGGAACAGCTTGAAAATGGCACCGCTGCCCTTCCATTTTCTGCCACAAAATACTCAGAACTTAACAGCGCTGTTGCACGGATGCTCTGCTCTCCAGATAGCTATTGGCTACAATTTTGAGCGCTGTCTTTCTTCTACCTATGTAGATATCATTTGTGCAGTTAAAGCTGCTTAAATAGGAACATGAGCATTTTTTTTAACAACTGTTTGCATAGATGAAGGCGGGGAGGGGCGATGAACCCGGCAAGGGGAAGACTGACCTCTTTTCTGGAGCACAGGGCTGGGCAGTGCTCCTCACCCTTCAGGTGAAACAGAGCAAGCCCCATCATCCTAACTGTCCAGCCCAGGTAGGGTGGTATTTATAGTCTCCCCAATTAACTAAAGCACACTTAACACATTAACTAGCTCTTGCTTTGTGCCAGAAAAGCATAATAATAGCATGCCTAATAATAACATGCCTAGAAAAAAATATTAATAACGCTTACGAAATCCCTCTGTCAATGGGACATTTCCCCGTTGCTGCTGCCCATGGGTGAGGGCCAAGGTGGCTGGGTGGATGCGAAAACAGGACTAAGAGCCAAGATGGCTCAGCTCATGCTTAGGGCTGCATTTCTACCACAGAGATGCTGTGCAACCTTGGAGAATAACAACAATAACAGATAGTAAGTCTTTCATTCAGGGAAGTTATGAAAAATTGAGCTGTTTCTGTAGGAAATAAAGGAGAGCAGCTCGAAGGAGACTTAAAGCGGTCAGTGAAGTTGTGACATAGCCCAATTACCCCCAAGCTTCCAGCATGTTCTTCCAGCATTTCTTCAGTGGCTCTAAAGCATCCTTTTAGCCCTTTCCATCTCTGCATCTGGAGCCAGCTCCACACACGCTCAAATATCCTGGGAGGTAGCATCCCTGCAATCCAGCCAGCGGCTCACGGACAGCTGCTAACGCCAAATTTGCAGCCTGGCATCGCAAACGCAGAAGGTTTGCAAGGGCATCATTGGCTGTTAGGGAGGAGAAGAAAAAAAAAATCATCCTCTTCTCCTTCCTTTTCTTTTCTGCCTGCCTGAAATGAGGTCTAGATGCTGAACATCTGCTTAACGTACCAGTCAAGCAGAGACATGCTCTCCTCGTTGTTTATTGCAGAGCCACGGTCACAGAAAGCCTAGTTTTGATGTATAGCCTGGAGACATGCACGTGGCTCTGGCTTCCCAGACGGAGCCGCAGTGGGGCAGGAAAAGGAAAGAAGCAGTAAGGGATGCAGGGTACAGCACCTTGCCAGCTGGGGTTAGCCTCTCTCTTCCAAAATCAAAGCCTGGCACCACTGAGGTACGAGGAGACTCACCGGTCACAGCAGAGGTACGGTAACAGTCAGCAGTGCTAATGTCATTTAGCAAAGTGTAGTGATAAATAGAGAGTAAACGGCCCATTGCATGCTAATTTACCGTGAGAATCAATTAACTGTAGTTAAAAAATATATTTTTAATGTCATAATCTTCAGCCGGCGCTGGCAGATTGCAGTCACAAAGTGGAGCCAAAATACTCAGCCAAAGATATTGGTTCCTCATAAAAAGACCCACATTTCGGCTCCCAATGTCGGCACCGCGCAGCCCTGTACCCAACGGGGACACGGGAACTGATGGGGGTGACACTGAGGACAGGTCTAATGCCGAAAGAACGTTATGACACTTTATTAAATAAAATATGCTTACTTAGCTGCCTTTAAATAAGGTGGGTGTATTTCCCACTGTTTGAATCTGTTCAGCAATGTAGCAGTATCATTATTAACACCTAGGCTAGCATTTAAAGCAGCAGGGAGCTCAGCGACGTCGCTGAAAGCAGATTTCCATCAGCAAGAGCGCGCTCCTCTCCAAGCTGCCCAGGAGAGACCTCCCCGACTGTCCCATCTGAATCCCTGCTCTGCCTACGGTGGACCATCTATTCCAGTGTTCACAGGACCTGTAATAAGAGGAGGATGCATTTTGGAGGCTAAAGCCTTCATCTCCAGGGTAAATCTCACATAGCAGTTGGTGGCTCTTTGGAGCATCTTGCAAACAGTAACAGCCCTCCCAGCACTGCTGCTAAGGCATAAAAGCAGAAATCTTGTTTTTAGGAGAGAAGAGGGAAGCCCAGAAGTGATGTTACTTGCTCAAAGTCGTTGAGAAAGTCATTCTCTGGGCAAGACTGGGAAGGCAAAGCCTGCTCCCGGGCTCCCAGGGAGGGTTCGGGTGTCTGCCTCCCTGTCACTGACCCCATCCAAGGGCAGCTCTTCCCCAGTCCTCATCTGCCTGTTGGCCTCTCTGCCACACTTCTGCTCCACCCCATGCTTTGTTGTACTTGATTCTAGGATTATCTGATACAGAAACGCTTCCAACATGCTCCTCCCCAACCCATGAAGCACTCCTCACAACCCTGGTGCTGTACAAGTACGGATGGGTAGAGGCTTGTTTAATTTTAGTTTGGCTGCCTTCACGCCAAAGCTACAGCTCAGCATCTTCCGAAGTTTCACCCAGGAGCTGAGGTTTGGCACCATGGTCCAGCAGCTCCCAGCACCCATGGGATCTAGCAGCAGGTACCATGTGAATCTTCACAATATTAAAAGCAGCATCATCTCAGGACCAATGTATCATAATTAAACCAACTGGAGAAACTATTAGTACCGGGCTACATCCTGAGGACAACAGCAGCACCGTGGTGCTAAATAAAGGCAGTTCTACAGGGTGCCAAATGGCTTACTGTGGACCTTGTCTGTTCCCTCTTCACCTTGCTTAAGGCAAGCTCCAGACGGTGTCCAATATTTCTCCCTCCTGGCAGAGCCTTGCCTAAGCTGTTCTCGGGAAGAACACTACTACGGCTGCAGTAGGGAGAGAGGTATTGAGAAAAATGAGAAACACTGATGCAAAACAGGATTTTGGAACTCAGGAATGGCAAACATGGTCCACACCGTCCCTCCCACCCTATTTCCCAGTACCCAGTAGGTGACATTTTGATACTGTGCAAACCACGGGTGTTCTTGCCTTGGTCTCCTGCAGTCGTTGCAGGCATGAGACCTCCATGGGCCATTCCCTTGGCCGGCCCACAGGACTATTGAGAAGGTCATTTTAACTTGGTGGGGTGTACTTTTCCAGAAGCCCAGAACTAAAACACTTCTCGTATCACCATCGACCATTTTTCATGTGACAAAGATCCCTCGCACAGGGCTACCGGCTTAAACTAACAGCACCGCCTTCCCCTCATGTGTATGGGGCAGGGATGTGGAGTCAGAAGGAGAAATGACATCTGCTGGCACGAGCTCCAGCCTGGGGACGGATACACATATTCCTCAAGCTAGAAGAGGAAAGCACAGGTAGCTCTCCTGGTCCCCAACTGGAGCCATCTACATCCATCTGGCTGTAAAAACCACAACCACCCAACAAAACCGTTGCTGGCATGAGGAGAAACCACATCTTGCATGACACCAAATCAACCCAGGAGCCTGCTGAAGCTGGACACTTGCCCTGTCCACCGGCTTTACTGCCCATTCCCCACCTGACATGCACCCCGCCTCTGCAAGCTGGAACCTGAGGCGCACACCTCGACCCTGAGCTGCTCTGCAGAGCCCGTGCTGGAATCTCAATAGGGTGGCAGGTCGTTAGAGAAATGAAACGAGACTTCCAGTACCCAATGAAAGATACCCAAGAAAGACATCATCCATAGGACTGCATTGCATCTGCCTCAAAATGGCAAAGGCAGCTCCTGGCGGAGGCGAGGAGAGGGAAGGAGAGGAGAGCAGGTAGGAGAGGGAGAGAAATCACAGTTTCCTGCCGGGCAGCACATCGCACCCCCTAAGGAAAGTGCCTGGGCTGGCCCCTGGTGGCTGTGGCCTGGGTAATAGCGATGAGCTCCATGGTTTTGTTAGTGCCATTTTAATAGCTGTACTTCTGTAGAAACCTCTCTTCTTTCTGAAGAATACACTTAACTTTTGCTGCTGCTTAAAACAAAACAAAAAAAAAAATGCAGAAAAGGCAACGTTAACAAGTAAACCTAAGGCAACCTACCTTTACCAACCCTCCAGGAAGAAAAAAAGATATATAGATATATAAAGCTAGCAGCAGCCTTCCATCATAGTACTTGATTCCTCTCACTTTGTGGCTTTGGTATGAGGTTGAGGAAATGTTTTTTAATATGCTTAAATATATATTTATAATAAATAATATATTATATATAATTAATAATGTATTATTTATTATACTTACAGTAAATAATGTAGATTCTTATTTAAGCATATAAAAAAAGCATCTGCCCAACCTCATACTGAAATCAGAAGGTGATGGGACCCGAGTACTGCGAGGGAAGGATGCTGCCAGCTTCCGAGGACACGGCCTTAGCCAGCCAAGCTGCTGCAGCAGAAATAAGCTACGGCTTCCCTGCCACACGAGAGGCCAGGAACAGGGTGGATGGGAGGGAGGCGAGGGGGTCTGTGCGTGGGGAAAGATGCACCCGTGGCTCCTGGCAGGCAGGGTGTGCAGCACTATTTCTCTTCTGTGGCAGGCAGGGAGCAGCGAGGCTGCTGGCAGAGGGGCAGGGTGCTCCAGCAGGGGAGGGAAGAAGCTTTGTAGGGAGAATGCAATGATGCCCTTCTTATTCCTAGGAAAAGCTCACAAGCCATATTGACACAGAGCCTAGGACAGGATTTGAGTGCCCCAGATCTCCCCGCATTTGGGGACACAAGCTCATTGCTCTCTGTGCCAGGAGCGTGTGCCCTGCCCGTACAACAGCCGGGCGGGAGTGGGGTGGGAGCAGCTTCAGCACCAAGGAGCCAAGGTCAACAGCCCTCCGGTATTAGCATTGTATTTTACAGGAGCTCCTGTAGTTGAGGCAACTGAGGCCAGGGGGATGAATTCAGCGGAACCGGAGCAGCCCCCCATCAGCATGGTGGGGAACAGATGTGTTTCTATGGAGCTGTTAGGCCCCAGCTCCACGATGCTCGTGGGTGCACTATAACCGCTATCTGCAGCCCCAGCCAGATTTTTTTATGTTACAGAGAGCGGTTGCTTGTGCTAGCAATAGCCACCACGGCTTCAAAATAGGTTACTGCGCTGTTGTCAACTTGAACGCTACCCTATTAGTGTTTATTTTATTAATTTATTGAATAAACACGAGCGAGGTTAGGTGCTGTCTGTGCGGCTTTGGCTTCTTTTTTCCACAGCATTCAAAGCAATTACTTTCATGAAAGCAAATGGTCCATTTAGTTGGAGAATCTATAAGGCAGAAATGAGATCAGATTCCTGAACAGATGTGCCCTCCTCTAGAGGGATTCGGTGTCTGCGAGGCTTCAAGCTGACATCAGACAGAAAACATCTCCCAACTTCACTAGGTCTGAGCTGCGCAGCGTAGCTGGCAGTTTTATCAAAGAACCGGCTCTGTCACTTCAAAACAAGGGCAAGTACCCATCAATTTAAAGCATTTTGTGTACCAGGGAATGGAAGGGAGGGAGGATGACTTTGTCATGGGGATGGCTCCACCAAAACAACCTACCCCCAATTGAGTAAAAGAAAACGAGCCCCTCTTCCTCAACAACTCAAGCAAAGAAAAAGGCTTTTGCTCTTTTTCCCCACACCTAGGCCTGAAGAGAGGGGACAACTATTGCAGGTCCACACACCATGTAAATGTTTTCCCTTGGTTGGTGCTACGTGTCTCGGGAAACACCTGAGCTCCCCACCCAGCCCAGTCCCAGACTAAGTCTGTGGCAAGGCACAACTCCCCACTGTCAGTTCAGCGACTACTACGAGGGCCAGCACGGCTCACCACTGCTCAGGTCTCCCCCTGGGAATACGGCAGAGCCCTGCTGGCACAACTGACCTCGACTGTGCCAGTTAAGGCAGGACGGAGCGTGCATCCACGGCAGGATCTTCTCAGACCAACACCCTGGACTTCCCCTGTCACTCACGCCTGCCTGGTGAAGTCCCGGCTTTCACCCTGCCCTCCTGGGAGGGTAGCACAGGGATTAGTCCAGAAATCCCTATGCTCCGTACGCCTACCCAGGCCAGCCCAGCTGCAGAGGTTCCCCCCTCCTCCATGCATTTTCTCTGGCCCCTGCTCACAGATGAAAGGAGGCAGAAAGGAAAAGCCATCATCCACCCGCCCGCGGAGGCGGCCTCTCCGGGCAAAGCACACTGGCAAGCCAGCATATGGATGCTCATGTCGCTGCTGCCAACTCCCTACCTGCTCCGCGGCTAAGCCGAAGCCTGAGGTCTCAGGGCTATGCATGCCTCAGCCTGGCAACTCTCCCGTGCCCCAAATTAGCAGGCATGGAGACTGTTTGAAGTCACTCCAGCCCTTAGATGTAGGGACACACAGCTCCTCAGCGGTAACTGGTCCCGGGGATGCGCCCAGCTGGGACGCCCATCCTGCCATCCACAATTCCTGCTCGTGCTCCTTCACGGCCGGCATCCATGCCCATGTGTTCACCTGGCAGCCTTCCCACCCACGGGCAGCTTGACAGGGACTCAGCTGCCAGGCAATGATGCATTTAGGCAGGAGGCCTGAGCAGGACTGTAAATATCATTTCTTCGGCCTTCCTCCTCCTCCACCTCCATTAGAGGGGAAAGAACAGAGCATCTCCCGCCTGCTGGCTGCCGCATCGTCTCAGCCTGTCCTCTCCGCAAAGCGGTCGGCAAGGTAAAGGCAGGAGGGATAATTATACTCCTCACCAACTTCAACAGATGCCAAGGAAAACTCAAAAGTAGCTGAACTTGCAAAATCTCTCACAAATCTAGGTTGGCAGGAGAGGGGATCAACCAGCCCAATTATTCACAAGCAAAAGGTGGTGGGGGCAAACGCAAGGGTTAACTTTTACCACTGAGGCATATGGAATTAGCTGACAGTCACTGCAGGACATACGTGCAATAGATCCTTTCCAGTTGGGTTTTACCTGGGATACTTCCACGAAACAGCATCTACATAAACACAAACATCACGCAATGAGGAGGTGAGGATAGGCTCTTGTCAAGGGAGGCAGACAAGAATGCTCGGTCCTAACACCAACAGCAGACACAAGCCGTTTCCAGAGCCATCAGGATTTTTTTTTTCTTTTTCAGGCTTTTTTTTTTTTTTCCCCCTGCAATCTTTCTGATTTCACAGGAGCTTCTAGTAACATAAAGCACTCCTGCTGTTAGAGATCCTGCTGTGTGTAATGGCATGCCTAGACGAGGAGATGAGGGGGATGCTGTTGGCAGGGGACAATACAGCAGAGAATACGTGCGCACGTCTGAAACCACAAGCTACGTGTAAGCCTACAAATATGTTATCAAGAGAGATGGACAGAAATCCAGGCTTATTTCCCACTCAAGAGCGACTACGAAGCTGACTTGGAGAGCACACGCTGTACCTGCCTTTGACCCCAACCTCATCTTTTGTGGGACCTTACCCAAGTGTCTGGGTCTTCAGCGTTACTGCTGCAAAGGGGCAGCAAGCATCACCATCAAGGAAAAAGCAGAAAGCTGCAACGGAGAGCATGCCTAAGCCTCAGATTTTTGCAGCCATTTCTCGTAATTAGACAATACTCTTCATTTTAAATAAATCATTTCTTCTGTATTTATTTAGTTGTGATCACGTAACAGGTAATATTCCCAGGGGTGACAGGCAGGAGGCAGCCCAAAAAGCCTCTCACACTTACAATTCATGCTGTCCTTCCCCATTTATTCAGAAGTATTCCGTCACTGCCAGGCATACACAGAAAATTCTCGGGTAAAGAAAAGGTGGTACCTATCTCCTACAAGGATCAGATTGGTTGTTGTTGGGGTTTTTTGGGGTGATTTTGAAATGTACTATTATGATTTAAAATTTTATTAAAACCCCCATGCATGGGCCAAGAAGATGGGAAGGGGTGGTGTGAATCAGAAGAAAACCAGATGTAACAGCAGGACCGCACCCAGAAACCAGCTTTCCATGCAGAAAGTCCCTCTGAAATAGATCCCAGCTTCTGTCCAGTGAGAAGTGAGAAAGCCAGCTGCAAGGGCAAGAGAAGAAAAAAAAAGACACATCCTTACCTGTGTGTCCCTCCTCGGTCCTACTTCTCCATTTGTAGCCCCCGAGATGCCACCAACTCCTCTCATCTGGAGCAGATACTCGGCCACACACCAAGAACTCTTCGGGCCCAAGTTACTTTATTCTCATCTGGGCAGGAGGGGAGGGATGCGCCTTGAGTAACAGTCGTCCAGCGATATGAGACCAGGCAATAAGCGGGGTCTGATCCCCAACCAGGCAATCACTGCTGGAAATACAGCCCTCGAAAGAGGGCTCATGCTATGCTGAGGCACTCTTCCAGAACATATGTAAAAAGTAATAAATTCTTATAGTTTCTGAGGGTTTTTTGAGAGCGATTTCTTGCCTTAACTATGTAACAGTAGCTCTCCCGAACAGAAGCCAGACAGTCCCTTCGCGTTCCCCAGAGATGTTTTTGGTGCACACACTTGTCTTTTATAGGGAGTCTTTAGCCTCTGCTGCATGCACTGCTAAGCATCCTATGTTTTAAATTCAAAAAGACAGCATGAACTGGCTTAGGTACCATCTGATGAAATTCAGTAGCTTACATTAAGCAGATCAGCCTATGCAGTCCTAACAGCCCCTTTTTAATTCTACTATTGATAGATGCAGTGTTTTTCACACACTGAGCTAGGGTTTTTTGACATTGTATTATCCAGGTCAGAAGATAACAAAGCCTCCTCAGATTAAAAAAAAATCAAAACAAAACAAACATAAACAGAGGCTTTTTGTTTAGCAAAATACTTGCCTGTTTGTAGGCAAACCTGCCATAAACAAGACTGCAACATCCACTTAGTGCAAAAAAAAAAATAAAAATCTCATCTCTGAGGATGACTCATATACGGTGATGGGAAAAATACACAAGTAAAAGCTGAACAAACAGCTCCCCAATATCAACAGGGTGATCCGGACCAGGGAAACACCCTCCTGAGACACTAGAATTCCTCCTCTGAATTCAAACCTTTGAAGCCAAGTTATATGAAAAGTGTTTTTAACTCCTTACTTATTATGAAGACCAAGGAAAGTTGTATGTGTTTGCTTGCGATAGTAAGAAAGGTTGCAGGAAGCAATGCAATCAACATCTTGCCTGTACTTCACTAAACCTTGAATTTAAAATTCAGCTCCAGAAGATAAACTGAAGTAACCCATCACGGAGTCTCAAGAGAGGCAAGCACAGCAGGAAAAGCTGGTGTTTGAACGGTAGCACAGGCCTAAGTTTGGATTAAGCGTATTGTGAAACCGAACCTAAACTGTACGCTGCTAGGGAAATGGACAGTCCTACTCTCCTGCCTGCTCTACGGCTTCAGATCAAGCAGCTACGCCAAGTAAAATTATTTAGCTAATTGACCAAAAACAGTGGCACGGGAAATACGTGTGTGAGAGACACTGCTTTCAGTCACATCAAGAAGTGGATTCAAATCACTAAGTGGTCACGAAACCCCATGAAAGCCAGAGGGCAAGAATGCACGGCCCAGGACAGTAATCCCAAATTACAAAACGCACCCCAAAAATTCACAGGTGAAAGAGACTGTTAAGCGAGCAGCTGTTTTAACAGAATTAGTTGCGCTTACTCTCCTTCCTGAACAAGGTGGCTTTACTAATTTCAAGTAGGTGCTACAACCTGTCATATAGCAGGCACTAACGAACCTGGTCCCCAGGCAGCGGCATCACCTAATAGCTCCTGCCAGATGGGATACAGGGCTGGATGAACCCAGCTTGGTGACACAGCCCTTTAACATAGCTACACTAATACTAATTACTTTATATTCAGCAAGTTACTTTTCTAAACAAAATCCAAAACGCTGGGTTTAAGCTCCATGTTAATCAAGCTCTCAAGAATGACCAGTTGAATTTGATACAGCCGCTCAAGAGAGACTGATCTCAAGCCTGAGGTTATTTCCCAGTCCACTTCATTTTTGGCTTGGGTAGGCAAGCTTGTTTTTTGTGTTGCTAATACAAAGCATCCAACTTAAAAAACCTAAGGTTTTGTATTTATTCTTGAGAAAACAGCAAATAAATACAGCTGTTAACATAGAAATCTAAAATGAAGACCTAAAAATCAGCTTATTGCATACATGTTATAAAAGACTTCATGGAATAATTCAGAAATTGAAACGTGGGCATACACGCAACGAAATGCCTTAAGCAGATGTTCAACCTTTGAATACGTTCTTCCCTAACAAGTAAGGGGCCATGTCATGTCCATCCCTCCGCAGTTAAACTCCTCCCCAGGAGGACATCCGCATGACCACGACTTGTTTCTAGTATTCAAAATCTCAGTTGCAACTGAATTGCCCAGGAAAAAACAGAATTGCTATGGGGAGGGGGGGGGAAGCAGACTATTTTAAGAACTGAAGTTTAGCCTACTTTTTTTTTTTTAACGCAAAAGAGGAACCCGAAGCCACTTCTTTCACAGAATAAGAATGCTTTAAACCAGTATTTCATCTCTCTTGCATGTAAACCGTAAGGTTTTTTTTGCAGATAATGCAGCATGTGTGACTCAAGAAATTTCTTTTTTCTGTCACCGTTAAATTAGCCCACATTCAAGCTTGATGGTATTCCCTTTCCCTGCAACTCCCAAACACCACAAGTTAATAGTAATTTACATTTTTAAACATTACAATTCCTTCAACACATGGCAACTGTAGATACCAAGAAGCTTGTAAGACTTTAAACGGTGTTTGCATAACTGGCTGAGGAAAAGTGTGCTTCTCTGGAAAAACAAAAAAAACCCACCAAAACCCAACCCCCTCAAAAAACCAAACCCTGAAGTTATTTTAAATCCATTAATACTTGTTTGACAATAGTTTTCTCAAAAATTATCTCACGCAACAAGCAGGCATATACTGTTCTGAGAGGGCCGCCCCTTGTTTTATCAAAAGAACATTTAGGACACCCAAGAGCACCAGAACATTTCAGTGGATTATCACCGTGTAGGTCAGCTAACTCCCTGCACAACTCATTTTCCCACCCACCAGCTCCAGAGGAAGCAGCCCAGGCAATGGAGAGTAAGACGAAGAGCTGCAATACCTACCTGGTACATGCCTGCAGGCTTTGGACTTCTTTTTAGGTGATGCCCAAACCTGCATACGCAGGCAGCCAACAGGGCCACCAGCAGCTATCGCTCACCCCAAATGAGACACGTGGCAATATGTGAAATGAGGAAATGGCATTGATCAGAAAACACAATCCTTCAGTTATTTTCAAACGACATCATGGCATGTAACTGGATCAGAACCATTTTGTCTGCCCCTCCTTTTCACCCCAAATTGCAGGAACCTGTAATCCTGAAGTGACCGAAGGAAGGGAGCACCAGCATCGCAACATCAGCAGCTTCAAACTTCACTCTAAGTAACACGCTGCACCCTACAGTCTCCAACGATCCACAGGGACCCTAACTGTCGTTCTCAAGCTCTGTGCAGTCCTCCTGTCCCTCCACCACTTTCCAAAAAGGCTTTTGAAGGAATGCTACTACACAAGCAAAAAAAGCTGATTAAACAGGAACTGTAGATGGTCTTGTTCCTCCTCTGCAGCTTTTTGTATTAACACCAGTCCCCACCTTTTTGTTTTGCTCTTTCTGTACTGCAGACCATGTCTTTGAGAGACTCCCAGGTACAAGTGGATTATCAGCTCTGGATGAGTTATGCCAACAGTACTTACATAGATAGTTTTCTTCTTCAGCTTTCCACTGAAAAATGTAACCCCAAATAACTAAACTCTCAGCATTAAAAAAACAAAAAAAACAAAAAAAAAAACAAACTAACCCAAACCACACAATGTCACCTTTTGTACTCCCTCCCTCAACATTAAACAGCATCAACTAGAAGATCCATCTAACATTGGACCGACACCTGACCATTCTGGCAAAACACTAATTTAAAAAAAAGCAGTTCTTACTGAAAGCTGATGATAAAATTGCTTTTATTTTCATGCTGCTGCACATTAAAGACAAAAATATAGCGTGCTCGGCACAGGGGGTGAGAAAGCTAGAGATTAAGTAATTTGTTCAGCAATTCAGTGGAAATATCTGTTAATGAAAATCCATCAGACTTGGAAAAACAAACGAGGAGCAGAGAGGTGGTGCCCTAAGATTCCTCAGGAATAAAACCAAGATTGCACTCTGTATCAATACAGACACAGACAGCTCATCGCTAACAGGATTCCCACGGTGTCTCCAAGACCACAACCATGGTAAGCAATACGCTCAAAGAGGCAAAAGTTTATCCCCAAGCTGTAGGTGTAGCACTGCACGCCTAAACGTCGTCAACTGCATAGACTCCTGACCCCTTCATCTTCCATTATGAATTCTTCTGCCTTGAACAGTTTAACTGCATTTTCATGGTATTCCTCACCCTAATTCTCTCTTCTAAAAGAATGTGTTATTTCACTGCAGTACCAAAATCCCTAGATTTGGTTTTCTAATATAGCTAAGAAAGAAAAAATTAAGTTCCTTTATCAATACTTCAGTTCCAGGTTATTAAAAAAAAAAATAAACCAGCCTAATTACCTTCTTGTGTAGGTGGTTACAGCATTGTTGACTGATGCATGAAACAAAATCCTGAAGTACAGGGCAAAACAAGTAGTTAATTATATTGAAACTCATTTATAGCAAGTTTAACAGTGTTGTTGCCAAGCAGACAGAAGTGACATCTCAAATCAGCTAAGTCTCAGTTGATCACCTTTTGTATTTCTGTGGTTCTGGATGCTCCAAGACAAGTCGTCTTTAATTTTTAGTTGACAGCTACGAACTGCTTGGCATCAAAAGGATGTGATCACATTTTGCCTAGCATTAGTTTTCTCTGTGACAAGCTACTCCATTTAAATAGACTTTACTCTGCACAACCCTGGCAGACAGCATTCATTACTAGAGCTGAGCGAGTTATGAATAATGTGATGTATTCTATAATTTTTGGCTCTCTGCTTGAGATACCAAAGCAGATAATACATCTCTATTAATCCTCTTTGGAAATCTTCAGACAAATTCACTCATGTGTTTAGAGCTCACTTAGTCCCTCTCGAAAGAAGTTAGCAGCAAATAAGCTCTGTAGGGGTCTTAGCATAGAGGGGAAATCTGTTCACTGCCTGTGTTATTTTCTTCTCTGCAACTCATTTTGTTATCTGCAAGAGCTATCAAAAAGTACACCACGTAACTCATTTCCAGACTGGTCCATCAGAATCCTTAACCAAGTTCCAAGTGGAAAATTAAAACAAAGTTTTTACAGAAAATAATTTCAGCAGTAAATTTTTTCACAGGAACTTTCACCAGCAATTGGGCAGGGAATATAAAAAACCCCAGGAAGTTTCAAATATGTGCTCCTGCCTAAAGTACTGCTTCTATGAAGTACAGTAACTAACAAAAACAGTACAAGTGTCTTTTTGACCAGAGCATACAAACTGAAACTAATCACATGTGGACTAAGCTCTCAAACATGCTAGAGGGTGTGACTGAAACAGAAAGGTAGTCAACCAAAAAGTGAACACACCTACAAACCAAGAAACCATGTAGTAGAGTGCAAAAGGGTTTAAAAAAAAAAAAAAACCCAAACAAACCAAAACACACCAAAAATGCCCCAAACCACCACACCCCACCACTTTTATCATACTAACAAACCATGACAATCAGAAATTCTCCCAAATTCAGCATTAAGTCGAGTAAGAAAGGAACCTAAACAGCAATAAAATTGCTTTTTTCTTAGCACTAGAGCTCAATCCAGCTCTAGGCTCTACCCAGTAATACACTCACCAAACTTGTTTTCACATGGAGTGGACAAAAATTTTACCTTCTTAAAAAAACCCTCCAATATACACTACTTCAGCCCCAGTAGTATCCCCGGTGTTTGTTTCCTACATCTGCTATTAAGTATTTAAGTCATATATGGAAGAGAAAAAGGGAAGGGAAAGCTGATTATTTTTTAATCAAGCATAACCCACATTTAATATTTAAAAATAGAGACTAAAAGCAAGCATCATTTAATGTATTTTAATAGCAAACTTACAGGAACAGCACAGAAGACAGACAACATTAAAAACATGTACTTGCATGTAGGACAACTCAGTTAGAAAAGTATAGTGAATGGATGGAATCTACTGTATGATAAAAATGCTACAAACACCATTTAGTTGCCATTGGTAAGAAATTTACTTGTTTAAAAAAATCCAAATGCTGGCATTGTCCAGAAAAATTTGACAGTTTTATTTATATTTTTTTTTTATAAAGTTGAATTTTGAAACTTGTTCACTGAAACTTTTTTTTTGACCACATCGATGTTTTATGTCCCCTCATTTATATTAAAAATCCACACACAAATGAAAATGGAAAAAAACTTGCCAATATCCAATTCTGTCCCCTATTTTTCCATTTGCAACCATATACTTAGGTACCTTTTAACCCCATGGAAAAAATATCTAACGTTCATTACTACCAATAACAGGAAGAAGATTTTGCTTCGAGAATGACAAACCCATCAGAGTGAAGTTTAGGCACGCTCTCCACGTATGCGGCGTGCTAGCTGGATATCTTTTGGCATGATTGTGACACGTTTGGCATGGATAGCACACAGGTTGGTATCTTCAAACAGGCCAACCAAGTAAGCTTCACTTGCCTCCTAGTGAAGAAGAAAAGAGTCAAGAGCACTTTCAGTCTTTGAGCAGTAGGATAATAAATAAATAACAACACAAAGTACAATGTAACATGGCATTAAGTTTAGGCTTCTATCTTTATTACGTGCAAACATCAAAAGTTTTAGATCCTCAAAAAATAAAAACCTCCGTTTTCTTATAAACCACCAAATAACATTTTACGTCCAAGTTGCATTATGTTGCCATTTGGTGAAGACACCCTCCAGAACAGGACTGAACCAATGTTCTGACAGGACTCTCACGAGATAAGGGGTTATCTTATCAAAAGGTTAGTTTGCTTAGGAACTTCTCTTTTTAAAGGCTGGGTTACGCTATTCAAATGACTCGTCTGTAGCCTCTTCCAAAGTAAGAGCTATTGAGCATCAAGTGAAATTGGCAGGTGCTAAGGAAAAGAAGATCAGGTATTCCTTCACAACACCCAGTTTGGGCATGCAGCTCCTTGCCATAGGATACTGAAGAGGTGGCTTTATTCAAAAGCCACAAATTAACAGAAGAAAAAAAAAACTTACTGAGAATTATTACATAAAAGATGACACCACCTTTGACTCAGGAGCTCCTTGAGTCTCCAAAACGAGGACAGCAGTCTGAGAATCAGACACTTGTCCTATTCCTATGCTTCCTGCCTGCCTGAGCAGCCCCAGTCTATTTGGGGCACACACCACAGCCCCCCACACCCCCAGATCATGGAAGGTTCTCACCTCACTCCTGTGAGAATCACAGGGTGAGCACTTGGGAGGGCAGAGGACAAGCCCTATCCCAGGAAAACCACAACCCTGACCACAGCGTTTTCTCTGTAACTGAACCACTCCGGGCAGGTTTTTGGGTTAGACTGACGGCTGTGCTGGACCCAGTTATGCTTCTGGCTCATGTTAAGTTAGCAGATACTAAACCCCAGCACAGCAATGGTAACTATTTACACATTTTTGGGTTGATAGAGAATTCTAACACCTAACAACCTCCTAGAAAGCATCTCGGCATGCCAACATCAGACTGGCACATGGACCAGGATGCAGCGCACGGTTGGGATGAGAAGGCAGGAATGATGGGGCTCGCTTACAGAAAGGAGGTTGAGGTCCACCATTCTAGAATACATTGCAAGAGAACAGCTTGTGCAAACCATTTCGTTACCAGGAACTAGAAAATCAACTTATTAAGTTCAAAGTTCCCGTTTAAAAAACATGGAGCTTTTAAAACAAAGAAAGAAAAACATTTACTACAGCAGATGAGGACTGTAGTGTTAGTAAGGCATTTCATATCCAGCAGGATATGGCTACCCTAAGTTCCCCTAACACAGTTTTGCTAAATCACTGCATGAAAAGTTAAGAGATGTCACCAAATAAGCCACGCTGGCACAAACAACGTGGTACACTAAAGGGGTTAAAACTTTCGGAGGTTGTCTCTTGTGGGATTTTTTTTTTGTTTGGGTTTTTTTTGGTCTTGTATTTTTCTACAAGTATGGAAGCAGGAAGCACTAGGAATACTACACAAACAAGTTCTATACCACCAACTCCTTAATGCAAAACCAGCCTTCTGAAAATGTATTAACTACTGACTAAATTTTAATAAGCCGTTCCTGATAAAAAGACACATAGGTAACCTCAGGAGTTAAGAACTACCACATTTGCTCACAGCAGTGAAGACAGAACAACTAAAAGCAAAAGCTGCAACTTTGCAAATGCACCTAACCAGGTGCTCAAGCCTACAGCATCTCACGGCATATGTTTATGGTCCTCATCAAGTGGAAGCCATTAATCAGAAAAAGACCATTTTGCTTGGATATCAGATATTTTACAATTACAGATAGATTCTGGAACAATCTTTTAACAGCTAAAAGAACCGTGAAGACCTATCTTTTACCAGGAGCGTATTTCTATGATGAGAGGGAAACGTTCCCGTGACAAGGAGATGGCCTCAGAGCTTTGATGCAGGAATTCAGGGCAGAAAGAGCAATCAGTATTTCACCCTCAATATACTCTAAATAAGTTATTAGACTAATATATTAAAAAAAAAATGTATGTGTTTAGCATCAACTACATCATACAAGAGTACTTATTTCCCTATACATGTTTAGGTGTGGCTTATTGAGCTGTCTTTCTCTATAGAACACCCGAGGATATCAAGACCTCCATTTGTACATGCTAAAACAAGCTTTACAGGACAACGCTTTTCTCACAAAGCGTGCATCTTTCAAAGGCAAAGCTTCTAGCAAAGATCAAGGATGGAGGAAACAGATTTATCTCAGGTGCCTTAGTAAGATGCACTGTTCTGTCAAGTGCAACTGCTTGAAGGGTGGGGGCTATAGAACACCCGAGGATATCAAGACCTCCATTTGTACATGCTAAAACAAGCTTTACAGGACAACGCTTTTCTCACAAAGCGTGCATCTTTCAAAGGCAAAGCTTCTAGCAAAGATCAAGGATGGAGGAAACAGATTTATCTCAGGTGCCTTAGTAAGATGCACTGTTCTGTCAAGTGCAACTGCTTGAAGGGTGGGGGCTATTAACCAACAAAAACAAACAAAAAAGCATATGATTCCCCCCCCCCTCCCGCCCAGCGAGGGATCGTTTTTAAAGGTAGAT